ATAAAACCAAGTTTTTCACAGTCACTATACAAAATTTAAATATCACTATCATAATAATTAAAATGGTCAGTTTTGCTTTTACGTGTGAAAAATATGATTTTAGTTTTATGAATGTTACGTGCCATGTAGTTTTCGCAACACCGCCGTTTTACCGGTTAATATCGATTTGAAGAGATTCACAATATTCAACAGACTTTATGTCTATATAGGCCTATGATGCGTACGCTAATAAAGTTGAACGCAAATCACTTCCTGGCTCCCGGCAGAAACTGTCATAATGTAGGTGAGTCGATTTTGTTGTTTATATGGATCAACTCTTGATCGATATCGGGAAACCTTTTAGCTCTTGGTGGTGAGTCATAGTTTCATCCAGGAGCTCGGAAGTGACAGTTGTTTCCAACTTTATCAGTGAACGTACTTTGTTTTTAAACCATCAGTAAATGAGAGGAATTTGGAATGATTAATATTAGCATAAAGGTATTTAATAAAAATAATGAATAAGAGAGGCAAATATTATTGTCTACGGTGTAAATCCTTTATCAGAATCTTCACGTTTAATCAATTTCACAGCTTTGCCGCGGCAACGGGCATAACACACATACATTCATAAATATTATCCCATAATGCCCAAAACCCTTAAAAACAGCAAATGGTAAACAACCGACATTACTTATTATATATACGTTACGTGCAGCCCAAAATGATAACGAAAAACAATGAGTAAATGATTCAGAACTTGCATATCGGAAGCCCTTATCATTAAGTACATGTAACAGCAAAAACTACAACCTTGAGTCCCGAACAAAAACAGGCTTGCTTTACATAACAATTTCAAAGTAAGGTTGTTTGTAGTATTCCATATTATATATATATATATATATATACCCTACTTTTGGATACATAAAGCATTTTCTGAGTTTATTGTTTCATAAATTCGAGACAATTTTAAAACAACTTTTGTTACGTCAGTTTTAGGAACATAGTTTTTGTACCTTCATCACACATTAGGAAGATAGTTAAAAGTGGATCTTAAAGAAATCCAGAATGAGGGTTTGGACTCGATGTGTCTGGCTCGGTATGGAAACCGGTGGCCCTTTCTCTGAAGACGGTAATGAAACTTGGGGTTCCATAATAAGCGGGACAATTTTCTGAGTGGCTATCAGCTTCACAAAAATGGCTGTGCTCCGTACAGCTGGTCAGTCAATTACACTTAGTTACATACTCTCGTAATTTAGTGCCTGTTTTACTTTCATGAAAGCAGACTGTATTTCATTATGTTAGGGTCAGTGGCTAGGAATATGTATACGTATTAAGTGACCCAATCTCAGCCCATACATCACATGTTCTGCTTTCCTTCGTAGCTTTCTCAAAGTAAACACTGGGATAGTACTTAGAAATAGTGTATGACCGTGGATTTCAACGCTGTATGACCAATTCATCTGATAAAGCGGAACCAACAAAGAAACAAACAAAAGAGGGTTAAGTAGGATTTGAGGTTTTGACGGCGGTCAGCCCGAAAATGGCTGACTTCTCGGTTGTAGCGCCGTATAGTCTGGTGGAAGTTTATAAGCGTTTCAGAGGCGATGAGCCCGGATGATTGAGGCAGCACGAACCTCTGAAACGTTAGTAAACTTTTGTTACACTATTCGGCATTATATCCCAGAACGCAGCCATTTTCAGAAAGAGGATTATCAATCATGTAACGTAATAACTCCATGATGAATGTTGTTTCTTGAATCAATGGTAGCGGCTTATTTGATCAATAAATTTTCCCTTTTCATGGAACCGGAATTGTTTTCATAAAATCCTGCCACTGGATTTTATCCTGAAGCAGTTTATTCTGTCCGTCTGTCCTATTTTCCTAAGATCTGTTTTAATGTTATCTTCCCTTCACGTTCACCTTGGCCAAGTAATCTTTTTAACTTTAAATTTTAAAATTAAAATTGCATGTGCAGTTTACTTCTCCTTACCCCGTGCTAGCTTACATGTTCCGCTCATTTTATAATTTTTGATGTAATTGCAGGCACTCCTCGATTTATGTGACAGTTGTGTTACAAAGAAAAGCTGTAGGAAGTAAAATCTCCCCTTGCTTTCCTCCTCCGCCACCCACACAACACTCCTTCCCTCCTCTCCACCTCATTTAATACGCCAGCAAGAATTTCGCATTAAAGCGAGCTCTATCAACTAAAATCGGTCTGATGTAGTTGAGCATTAAAATGAAATCGTGTTTTATAACACGCATACCTATAACAAGGAAAGCCTACATATGACATTTGATAAAGTGTACAAATTATGAAGTTTTTAGCCTCATAATATGTTCTCTGTATTAGGCCCAAATATTCGCCATTGTCCCTTGCTCTCAGACACTCTCAACACAATTTCTGCCGGTATTGTGAGGTACCAAATTTGACAGCATCATGAAACAAGCGAAATTTCTGAACTCATAAGTTCACAAACTTAGTACACATTTTTATCCTTCAAAAGAGTGTTTACTTTTAAATTACTAACAACAAAAATAAAAATGTTTCCTCCAAATTGGAATACATTTATTTTCCAAATGCTCTATGAGATAGATCAGGACAACGGATTCTATTCACGAGAGACTGAGAAACTTATCCAGTGCTGTGATATGTATCTCAAGTCTTCACGGGAATTACGTACAAAAATAGTTTACGACCTTCATGGCATTTTAGATTCGCTGAATAACTACAAACTACAAGATGGCTGTCTTCTGAGTTACTGAGCTTTGTAGTCTTATATAAGTTCACCGACGTTTCAAAGGTCCTTGCTGCCTCCATGATCGCACTGATGATAGAGGCAGCAAGGACCTCTGAAACGTCGGTGAACTTATACAAGACTACAAAGCTCAGTAACTCATAAAACACCCATCTTCAGACTTACCGCCTTGAAAACCTCAAATCTTACAAACTATAAGCCGAAGTCTACATCTTAAATGCGTTGTGTCTCATCTTCCGCCGTATTACTTACGTACCATTATAGATAACGTGGATGTTGGATAGACTGTATTAACAATGATGAACACGTTAATAAGCCTAAGGGTCTAGTTTAATTACAGAAGTGAAATCAAAGAGGGACTGGATAGGAATGTAGCTCGAATGTAGAAAACAAAAATGCATACCATGCTCCACCATTCTTAACTTGAAAAATAAATGGAAGTGATTATTAAGCTTCACCGTCGGGCATTAGGCTGGATGGGGTCCAAATCCGAAATTTATTGGGAAAATTATTGGAAAGTATTTATTTAAAATAACCTGAGATAACATTAAAGTGTATTTTAAAAAAAAACAGGTTTTGTGGATATATATTGGGTTGAAAATGATCAAGACAGGATATAATGTTGTGGGGAGGGGGGGTATGCGTCGTTGAATGCGTCTTTGGTTAATTGCTTTCGTGGCTACACGTCGCGACACAATGAAGGGTTTACATTTTAAAATACCGTATTTACCGGCGTATAAGATGAACTTTTCCCTCAAAATTTGCCTGCGCTTTTAAGGCATTGTCTCTTCCTACTAGGAATAAATGATGCAGAATTTTTTCATCATCAAAATCCACTTCATACTTGATTAAGTGAGGCTTATGAACGAAAAAATTGTGGCAAATTTGAAACATTGGCTGGCCGCATGCAGACTCGTCTAGGGCCACGAGTGACATGGGCCCGACTTTGTACGCCCCTGTTTTACATTACTGACGCGAACATTCAGGAAATACATACAAACTTTATTTCACGCAGTGAACCAAAAATACCGTCCATTCACAAGTCTCAGAGATGCGTCTCTTTGTGTTTACAAAGATAAGATTATCGCTGAAACAGAATAACAAATAAGATTGTTGTTTTCTCAGACTTTAAAGAGCGGAATTAATAATATATCACATTATGATCTGTTAAACGCCACCCTTGAAGTGGGACGGTGAACTTTAAATAGTTACATTTCCGTTTTTGTTCATAATTACCCCGAGGCTGAAATAATGTTGTGGAGTAGGGCGTTCTAGACGAATGGATAGTTACTTTACTGACGAAATTTTCGCCTGTATGGAACCCAAAACTTTATTACCACGTTCACAAATTCCTACCATTGAACCTTATCTTGAGCCAGATGAATTCGGTTATTAAGATATATTTTAATATTATCCTCCTACGCACGCTTACTTCCACAACACTTTTTGAGTAGAATGTTACATAAATTCTCAATTACTCCCACGTGTGCTGCATGCCTTGCTCATCCTATTCTTTTTGATTTAATTATCTTAATATTAAGTGATGTGTCTATCCCGAAATTAAACAATCTTAATTCGTTATTCTTTTTACTTCAGCTGCATTCAGTGTGAAACTCCAGTGACACCAATAGTTAATCTTTCTCAAATATGGAATTCAAATTTAAAGGCGAGGCAGCTTGGAATGGTATAATGCTTGAGCCAAGTGTCACAATAAGCCGTAATTTCGTCCGGAAGTTATCAACAATTTCCATGCATATTAATTATTTTCGCCGTTACTTGTGGTTCATGAAGTTGAAAGTTCAATAAATAAACCCTGACTAGAAATTCAAGTGCGTTTAAATGAGATATCTCGGCCATGCATGAGAAGTCTGGAGGAAACACATACGTATACCACAAAATTCTACATAAATTTCTTCATGAAATAACAAACGTAACATACAGTTGTCTATTACGTACAATTTATTTTTTACTCGATTTGTAAATAGCTGTTAGCCTGTTAACTGGAAATCGTCAACAAGGTAAGTAATAAAGACAGTGAAATGCGGTAAAGTACATCTCATAGCTTTCTTCAAGAAATTTCTTCATTGGAAACCAAGGAGCTACGATGCCCATTTATCCCTCTGAGAAGTTAGATAAATTGGAACCCTCTGCAGTGATGAGTTACAAATAGCCCCAATTCTTTTCTAGCGTCTCTTAATGGTCCAAACTTACAGACGGTCAGTGTCTTGCAGAGTACTCAGCGTATAAATACTTCCTCTTTCCAGAAAAGCCCTGGGCTGATCAGGGAGAGAGACAGACACACAGGCCATCGTCATGACAATTATGGACCAATCAGAGCCCAACAAATGGATCACCTGTAAAACATGTAGGACTGTTGTGAGGGTGTGAGTGTGTGTGTGAGTTTGATTTTTGCTCTCTTTTTTGTTTCTATTTTTTATTTAGATCTCTGTTCTTCTGAATCGTAAAGAGTGGTTTCTTTTAAAAGTGTACCTAATTTGATTACAGAACGAAAGTGGAATAATTTACAAATGCGTTCTTTGTTCTTTTACAAATAATTGCTTTCGGTGTTCAGTGATTGCAGCTAAAATTATTGTTGCAAATTTAAGCCAGTGAGACTACTGTACAGGGGCAGTAGAGATCATGTTTTTTGTTAAACGCACATAACATCAAAAAGTTTCAAATAAATGTTGTGATCTGTACTTTATCTTATGTAATACCTTTATAGGAACGGCATTTCCTATGAGAAAATTATTTCTAAAATTCCTTTATTAGCTTCATGTTGGACTCATACGGACCAAAATTAAAACCACAGAAACAAATTTTATTGTATTTCTGAGATCTGAGGATCTCACGGTGACGAATATTAAGATGACTGTCTTCTGGGTTATTGCGCCGCGTAGTCTGGTATTTGTTTATCGACTTTTCAGAGGTGCGTGCTGATGCAATTACCTCTGAAACGTCGGTAAACTTCTAATAGACTTCATGACACAACAGCCCAAAAGGCAGTCATTTCATATATTAGTGTAGATCCTCAAAGTACAAAATGTTACCCAAATATGTTCATTGTATTCAGATTTGAAACGTTCGAGATAATAGCAAAAGTTACTAGAACTAACTGAGGTATATTTTAGACCAGCTAATCGAGAACAAGTTCTTATTCAAAAAGTGGCATTAGCTGTTCAGCTTTTGTTTCTAAATGATTATATTCTGTGGGAAAAGTTCACATTGTCTTGTCATACGGGTACAAGTAACACAGGCAGGAAGTGTTGTATCGTTAGCCTGGGATATGGCGTGTTTATTTCAAGAAAGACAATCTACCTACCTTATCCCCATTGGGGGATTACATTATTCTGCTTTATCTTATGTCCGTACTTCAGTTTGTCAATCCATCTGTCTTGAAGGACTGTATTTCTTTAAAAAAATCGTGACTTGTTCAGATTGCAATTTGCAACGCTAAAGCCAAAAGTTACGACGCGGTTTGACGCAGTATAAAACAGTTTCAATGCCAAATACTGATTTACGTACACAATATACTTTCTGATCGGTAATAGTCGAGGCTTCGTGATGATTTTTAAGAAGATATTAAAAATATCGTGAAAATCTTTCCTCAGTATAGCAGTGCCTCAATGCTGTATTTCAGAATAAAATTAAATCCACGTCAACCTCAAATTTAAAAAAATTATTGTTCTGTACTTCGATTTAGAGTGATTTTTATTCATGTACCTAATTACTTTACTTATTATATACGGCGAAATTATTCATCAAGTGATAAATAAATTGAAATTTAACTTTATTTTCTTGAGATGGAATGCAATATTGTTTAAGCTTGCGTCTAAATTTTACAGCGTACTATTAAATTTGTTTAAGCTTAGACATATGACAGGAAATACAAACTCAAGGAAAATTATAAACATTGTCTGCATAGAAAAAGGATTCAGTGCCACTCTATGCACGATAAGATCTGACTGCTAAACCGTGTGATTATCAATAAATCGTATTTGGCTTCTTAATTAAAAGTGAGAACGCATGTTGCAAATCTCATTGCAGGTTCTCCTTGACGCTACGAGTGTAACATATGATAAACTTAATTTCTATCTGCAGGGTAGACATGTTTATTTAATATAATGAACAGGAACTGCGTTATATCATATAGATTTATAAACCAATTTTACTGCTGATTCACATTTTAATTCCTTTATCGGAAAATCTGTATTTTCTAATTAGACTTCTTATTTTAGTAAAGCAGAACCTATGAACACTTTTCTAAATATTATCATGTCACATAGTATCAAATTTACGACGAAAACAACACGAGTGAATATAATAAATTATACTTGGACGGCATAAATTTGTTCTGTAACTAGAACACAGAACGTGTTCCTTATTTCTGACAGAACTTTTATTTTTTGAAATCGGTACACTGTTAAATGAACACTCGATACGTATGCACGGTGGTGGAGTTTGCTGTGAAGATTTCAGACTTTTGGTGCTGGGTTTGCTGATTTATTATTCAGGCAACTGTGTTGTTGCTAGGCAACTAGTGTGGTTATTCTCTTTTTCCTACACGTGTGGGTGATTTTTCACTTATTTATTAAAAAGACCAAATGGGAGACACTAGGGAGAGAGTGACAAAACGAAATGGCGGACAAAATGGAATCCTATTCTGGAAACGTAGTAATGTAATTTCAATTTAAGATCACAGAAATGCATGAAAATATTTAGTACAAATGAGATTGAATAAATTACTAGAATATCAAATTACCTTTTATAAACGTATTATAATTCTGCTGTTTTTGTGTTTTGCAAGTATCAAATCTTGCACTTCAAAGTTAATCATATATTTTGCTATTTATTCAAATGAAACTAATTTTCACATAAGAATTTCAAAATTGCAGATATAAAATTAAATAAAATTTGGGCGTAAGAAACTGCTAACTTTTCTTGCATGAGTTGTCAAACTCCCATTGTGTCTCCTTTTATTATTTTTTCTTAAATTAAATTCTCGTAGTTCGATCTTGGATGTAGTCTTTGGATTTCATTTTTTATTTTATATAATAGTGTGAGTATTTTCTTAGAGTAATAATTTGTACACGTATTAACTGGGAGTGTTTCCAAGTTTGTTGGTGTATAACCCGTTTGCATAATCGGTTGTTTGATTTGTTGGTTTGTTGAGAAAATTGTTTCTAAACTCTGTATTGAAAGTAATTCTCAAATAACTTATCAGTAATTATTAGTAATTTTCCTTTTGCAACTTACTGTATTTTATCTTAAAATATGAAAATTAAGATATTTACAGTGACATCTGTAGTTCCATAAAATATCCACGATATAAGTATGCCGCCGCACATTGTAAATATAAAGATATTTCTATACATCACATTAACTTCATAACCTATAGAACTATATTAATGTATAAGGCATGCACTTTTAAATTTCCTCTGTCGAGTTTTATTGAACAAGTGTTTAACAGTGTAAACAAAGTGTTTAATTAACAGAATGTTAAAATTCGTACAGATTGTAAAAGTTAAGGTGGCAAAAATTTGCAAACGACAATTTTCTAATGACATGAATTTACTTACTGAAGTAAACATTTTCCTTCACCCCATAAATGCATTGAATAAAGAGAAAGTGGGTATATATTATTCTTGAGATATAATATTTTAACAAATGTCTCGTTAACTTACATTTTATGTATAAAATAACGAAATGTTTGCTTACAAATGAAACCCAAAAGCTACACTTTAAGATAAGATTTATCACGTTCTTTGGAAACATAAAATATTAAATTCATATTTATATAAAATATTTCTATAACATTTTGGAGATATTAAATTGAAACACCTACAAGTTGAGAGTTCCAGGAGCAGTCAAGAGATGTCAGTGTCTCCAAAGTAACATCTCACTCACCACTGTGCCTGAGTTAGAGCGAGTGTGCCTGCGTGCGTGCGTGTGTGCGTGTGTTTGACTGTTTTCACCTATTCAGACCAAAAAATGTACACAATCAGTGAAGGGGCATTTTTGTGTGGACTTTTAATGTTATGTTCTTGCTTCATTACTTTTCTCGCTTTCCTTAGAAATGCTGTTCGTGATGTTCACGTACGTATAAATTAATTAATTATTTCAGGCATCATACAAGTGAGTGGCTTCGCAACTCTTCACTTTACAGACAAGAACATTGAAAGGAGGTCAGGTTAGGTTGGGGAAATGTAAGTTAATAAGCGAAATTACATATAATAACATTTAAAATACCTTTATACCGTATGCACATGATGCGTGGCGTCAATTTTAAGTATTTTATATTTATTTCATTTCAGGGCATTGAGTAAGAATAGGTTTTCAACTGAGGTGTATGATACAGGAAAAGTAAATTTCATTGTCAATAAATAGACCAGTTTTCCTTCAGTGCCGATTGGGAATGTCAAAAATGAACAAGTAACTTCAGAGACCGCTTAGGATGATTACGCCTATACCAATGAAGAATTAAAATGGAATCGTATCTAATGTCCGGACCATACAGCACAGAAGTGTTTGGAAAAGTTAATGGGATAAACCCAGCAGTAAGAATTAGGGATAACAATAAAGACGAAATTTGACAAGCTATCAGCGTATGATATGAATTTAACTAAATCAGTATAGTCCAATAACACTGGTCAACACGTAAAATGTTATGAAAACGAAAGTAACCAATATTAACTAATTTTAGGCTGCTGAACACGAAAATCACATTAGACTGCTTTCACACGTGAGCCCGTGAGCCGCTCAGTTGAGCGGCTCGCTGAGCCGGTATGCAGCTCATGCGGAGGCGATAAGCAATTCGGAGTTCGGCTCAAATGACTCTCCGCTTGAGTTACCAACTTCCCTCAGTCCCTCCAACACCATATTTTCAGTATATTAGCAGCGTTCATCAAATCATGTTGGAACTTGAAGTAATAGTAATATGTTATGGCATAAATATTATAAATGATTAATAAATAGTACCTATTATAAACAACTTACTGGAGTTTATCCCCCCACAATGTGCCTCTCCAGTATAAATGCGTTGGCTAGACTGGCTTGATCTGCAGCCCACTGAGCCTCCTGTGAAAGGGTTCCATGTTAAAGCAGGGAGAGCTGTATAGCGGCTCATGAGCCGCTCACAGGTTCACCGGCTCTCGTCTGAAAGGGTCTAATGCATTTTGCTGGGATTTCTATCCCCAACAGTTCCTTCAGCTCGCGTGAGCCGCTCACATGAGCCACGTGTGAAAGCAATCTTAAAATTTGTCGACTGGCTCCTGTTTTCGAATTACGGTTGGGGTCTCATATTAGCGATTTTCTCTACATTATCATCAGTTATGGTACCACTACGCTCCTAAAATGTGATAAGCA